CGCAGCGGAGGGTCGAGGCCGCCGCCCGGAGCCGCCGGCGGGGCCGGGGCGGGCCCTGAGGGGAGACGGCCCCGGGACGGCCCCGAACCGGCCGGGTGAGGTCGGGGGACGTGGCTGTGGGAGTCTGGCCTCTGATTGAGGTTACCTGGGTGGGTTATTCGCCCCCGGAGGTTTGGGGGTGTTAGTGATATTATTGCTTACTACTGTTCTGTTTGGTTTTGTATACAGTATGTATAGTATATATACAAAGAGTACTATATAGGTTATATGGAGAATATATGTGGTACGCAAAGTAAAATATATGAGATTATTTTTTAGTTTATATAGAATACATATATGGTATGTAGGGTGTAATGGGCAGTCTTACACTGTACACTTACAGGCATTAATAGAGTGTAACACATTTTGAGTCTGTGTTTAAATAGGAGCATTGATGGCAGAGAGCCGGTCATTAACACCTTCTGGGTAGTACGGCAGAGGGGCCAGCTGGCTGCCAGAGCCAGGTGCTGTCAGTGCTCTGCGGCCGAGGTGGTCTGATATGAACCTCGGCTCATTAAATAATGCAAATCAGAGGAAATAGGATGTTGGGGGAACAGTGGTTTCCGCTGAGCAGTGATCTGCCAGGCCTGGTGCAATCCCATTCTCTAGACCCATTTTCTGTCAGGAGGTGACAAATGCTGAGGGAGGCGGTGTGTGTGGGCTGTGTGTTCGGGGCCCATCCCGCTTCCTCCCCAGCCGGCCCGGCTGCGGGTACCGCCGGTGTGCCGGACACCGCTGGCAGGCAGAAATGGTCACTTTTCTGGCTCCGGTGTGCTGTCACCAGAGAAGAATCTACTGGACAGGGTCCAGGGGAGGCCGCACACAGCATTTGGGCTCTGCAGCAGCTCCAGAGGCTGCGGGAGCCGGGCCCGGCCAGGCCGGAGAAGGGAAGGCCCAGAGGGGATCCCGTGGATCCACACAAACATCTCCGAGGGCTGCCAGAGGATGGGGCCGGGCTATGCCGGGCGCTGCCGAGAATAAAATAAAGGGCAGCGAGCGGCAGCCCGGCAGGAGGAAGAACTTGTGTCCATGGAGGGGCAGAGGCCTGGAACAGCTGCCCAGGGAGGGCCTGGAGTGTCCCTGTGTGGAGCCATGGCAGCCCCAGCTGGGCACGGCCTGGGCTGAGGGAGCTCCACAGGAACCTTCCAAACCTAATAATTCAGGGATTCTGTGGATCTCTGGGTGGTGTGAGTAATGCTGTTCTCAGTTCAGAGGAGTAGCGTTTTGTGGGTGGATGGATGAAGGGAAGTCTTCAGAAGCTGAAGGTGATGTGGGATAGAGCTGAGGGTGGTAATATCATTACACTGCTGGTGGAGTTCTGTCCTTCAGAAGACTCCATTTAACTAACTGAATGCTATTCTTTAGACAGACAGCTTGCTGTGTTGTGTCCTGTAAGCTTGTCCTGATATGTCTGAAACCTTCTCCAGCTTTTGTCTTCACCCTATGGTTCAGTTCCTAAACTTGCTGTGGCACCTCAGCTTTTGGTTTGGACAATAAGTTGTTTTTCTCAGTAAGAATAATTTCTGTTTTTATTTAAATTTTTCATGCAGTGTTTGTTCAGTTGTACTGAGCTTCTTCATCAGGTTGATTGCTGATGAGCTCTGTGGGCAGGTGTTCCCTTAAACTTTTTGTCTATAGGGCCTCAGCCCTATGTGTGGGTGTATGGTGTTGGGGCATGGGAGGGGGCTGAGAAGGAATATAATTCCTTCAGTACTCTTGATGTCTTTTCCTTGGTCTTAGAACTGAGAGTTAGACATGGGTGAGGGATAAAAGGATTTTTATTTTGGTATTTAATAAGTATTTTTATGGTGTAACAATTTGTCAAGGTGGAATATGCTGAAATGCATACATATGGTAGATAGTGAATCCAATTTTATAGATTTTGTAAATTGGTATATTTCACAAAGATGTTTCAATGAGAAGTTTAAATTAATTGTGTGATTTTTTTAAAAATTTTATTTTAAAATATTTTTTTCTTAAATGGGTCTAATTTTAGCTTACAGGATGTGTTTTATGGGGGTCTTGGTTTCTCAAAATAGAGTCAAGGTTTTCTGGCTTCTAACTGTGAGGCTTTTAGGATGTTTTGTCTTTTGTCTTAGAAGAATACCAGGATTATGATAAGATATCAGGCTTAAAGAATTGCAGGTATGTCTGTTAAGGGTATTGAGAACATATAAAAGGTATATGAAAAGAAAAGTCAAGAGTCATCATGACATCACCCTTAGTGTGGGAGAAGGGGCACGCTGTACTCCATGAGCATTTCACTGTGAACTTAGTGCTTAGTGGTCGTGTTTATATTGGAGGCTTTGTTCTGCTGGTGATAGTTGCTGGGGTGGTAAGGTGGAAAAAGCCATTTCAATCCTCTTACAATCCTTGGTACAGCTTTCTGCTCCGTCTGAATATAATGACTTACATTTAAATCAAGGTGTTGGAGCTGAAACAAAGGAACTGTGCAGCCAGCAAAAAGACTGCAGTTGTGGTGATCAGAATTGAGGTGGCTCCTGTGGTCATCTCTCTAGAGGGGAGACCCATGTGCCCCTGCTTGTGTGTTCCTCTGCCTCTAAACCCCAGGCTGGGCTGTTTTAGTATTTTTGTGTAAAAGCAGGCCTGGCTTCTGCAGTGGGGATTAGCTGTAATAAATTTCAGGTCAGGTGGTGCCCATATGTATGGACACTACAGAGAGTGGCTTTCAGGGGTTCTTAGACATCAAAAGGTAGCTTGTCTTCAGACCTTGAATTGGTTATTTGGTAGTAATTAACCTATCCATTCTGTTTTGCAAGTTACCACACTGAAAACTGCTGACTGCCTCCATTTACAGAGTGTGTCTGGAAAAAACCCCCGACAATCCATCCTGCAAGTTGGCCACTCAGTATCCCAGCAGCCTTGTGTTACCTTCTCCTTTAAATAAGAGTGTGTTGAGAAATGCCCGGTGGAATGTTGGTTTTGAATTCTGGAATATGTGCCTGTTATGTTAGAAGAGATAAGTAATTTATAAAGGGTATAAAAGAAGTGTTGAAGTCTATGAAGTGTTTTTAAACGCCCTGTCGTACTTTCAGTCAGTGCAGTCATTGAGATCTCAGAATTTGCATTCCACAGTTAATAGTTAACATTTTTAATGTGGTTGAACTATTGACTCTGTTTCTTAGGTCCGTGTGGTGCTGTGTTGGGAGTGTGTCAGACCATTTGTTGGAGATTTAAGATGGGCCTGTTTAGAGACACAACAAAGGTTTATCTGGAGAAGTGACAGGTCCAGTGAGCACTTTTTTTAGTATCTTTTGTGCTTTGATTATTATTTTCCCAATCTGAGATGGACTGCTATTTTATCTTCAAGTCTCCTCCTACCTAAATATTTAATCTATCTTTCTTCATTATTTAATCTATCTGAAAGCGTATAGTCTTTAACAGACAGTGATTTAAATATTGTTAAAAAGTTTAAAAACAAAAATCTATAAAATGGGGCTGGGGAGATCCTTAAGTTGTATGGCTCCTTGCACTGTTAGGGACCTAGTGCCTCAGATAAATTTATAAGCATTAAGTTTATTTTAAAAAAATGCTAATCTGTGATCCAGTTTAGAGAGTGTCTAGTGACTTCATTCAGAGCTCTAAAAGACAAGTTCAGAAAACAGCAGTTGTGCCTACCTAAAAAAGGTGTCCAGTGGCGGTGCTCCTGGTTTCTGTTGTTAGAATATAGTGTAATTCTTGTGTTACAAGTGTTAAAGAAATAGGCTCAGAACAAAAGCAGTTTGCTGAAGCATGTGGCTCCTCCGGACCCTTCACTCAGGGAAGCAAGCAGCCATTTAATGAAAATGTGTCACCGGAGCTTTTTCGTAGCTTCTGATCCATTAGTGTTAGTATTGGGACAGGCTGCAGGCAAATCCAGGCAGCAGAAAATAAAACTCGTTCCTCTTGCTGAAGGAGGATTTGAAACATGAGGAACTAGAAGGTTTTTACAATTCTTTGGTGATGCAGGCCCATGGAGTCAGGACAGAGAGGTGCAAGAGGGACAAGGGGTTACTGCTGGTCTGCCCTGTTTTGGGAGTTTTGATTTTGTTGTGGGTTTCAGTTTTTTGCCTGTAGGCTTATTATAGAAAAGATGAAAACCTATGAAAAATTTGAGGAAACAGTAATGAAATTAGGAATAATATATATACTAGTTTTTTCAAGGTTAGGTTAGTTATTCAAAATACTTCACCAATTCAAATAACCATTTTATTTTAAAAAAAGATTTACCCAAACAAAATAACATTGTTGTGTTGGTAGACTGCGGTATGATAGTTTTCTGAGCTCTCTGTAGAATTGAGTTAATCTGTATTAAGTAGATGTAAATATTGGCATATGATTTTAGTTCTGCAGTTCTCTTCATTGAATTCTTCCCTTTTTTGGAGAGTTTACTGGGCCAACACTGTACAGCATCAATGCACCCTTCTAATTAGCACTATAATCTAATAATAGATAGTGTTGTAGCCTAATAATGCCCTTATGCTTAAATCAAAATTTATTGTGTGTCTCTCAAGAGTGCAACAGGATGAATATTCTCTAGGCCTTTTTAAGTACAAGACAAAGGTAGATTAAATAATTACTTGCTTCTCCTCTATATTTTTTGTTTTAAATAGGGAAGGTTTTTGTTTTTTATAAACTTCTGTTGTTATTGATGTCTGTGATATGTGGTGAGGCTGTATAATAAATACCTACAGAGAACACGAATCAGCATTACGCATCTTCTGATGCCCGGTTTTCTTGTAACCCTTCAATATTTCTTGTTTATGTGGTCTATCTGGCTATTGACTGTCCACAGATACGTGCTTTAGAGATGGGATGTGCACTTTGATGTGTCTCAGTGAATCACCAAAAGCTGTTAATCGTGTGAGGTTCTTAATTGAAATAACTTCCAGTTCATGTTGTTACATCCTCCTTGCCAGGAGGTCGTGATTGTTACAGGAAAGAGCTGTATTCAGAAGGGTGAGGAGAAGGGGCACCAAGTCTCTGCTTGCTGCTCTTCCAGCCCTCTAGGCAGCTGTCAGAGACTTGTTTTGGGGTGTGACTAATGATGGCTATGGATATCAAACCAGTGATATATTCAGATTGTTCATTTTTGGCTTACATACGGGTACAATGTTAAACACGTATTTGTTTCACCTTTCTTACGCTTTCACTGGACGTTGCCTTAAAGCATTCTTGTCCCGTGCATATTAAAGTGGTTAATAATTGCATCACATGTGGTGAACAGTTACATATTAACCTTGGTTAAAGCTCCTCATCTGAGCTATTCGGGAGGGGAAACCTTAGAGCTTAGCCGGGGAAGTAAGGCATGGAATCTAGATCTGTAGCTGCAGGGTGGCGTGAGCCGTGTGAGAGGGTTTAAGTATTTGTCTGAGCTTTTAGAGGAACGAGTGGGCATTACTGGTGGTCAGAACACAGTGGCATTGGGGCAGGGTGTGAAGTCAGCCAGTGCAGGGGCTGACTGCACTGATAAAAGCAGAAGGAAACTGGACAGCTCTCGGCAGGTGTAGGTTACAGACATTAGACTAAATGGATCTCAGTCCTTCAGTTTGCTCAAATGAACTGTAAATACTGATTTTTGATAGGTACTATGAACACCAATTTATGGGCATTCAGACATTGAAAAAGATGTGCAGTTGGAAAGCAAGTCTGAGTGAGCAAAAAGGCATAAGATTGAGGAGAAGTTCATTAAACAAATAAACCAGGGTGTTTATGGGGAGTGGGGAATGTGATGGATTAATAAATAGCCTTCTGATGAGCTGGTAAGTCTAAAATAAGAGTTTTATGTTCTTGGGGACTTAGAAGTGTAATTATTTATGTGTTATGAGTGGAACAGAAATGATTAGCTGAATTACCATGTTGTATTTTTAATTATTATTATTATTATATACAGAGTTCAATTGTGTTGAAAGATAATAATGGCCTGTTTTGTTTTTTGCCTCTGAACTGTGCAGTGTAAAATGTTTATGGGGTCAGACTAG